GCGCCAGTTCCCGTTTCCGTCCGCTACCACTGTAGTGGATTTTTCGTCTTCCGGGCAATCACTGCCTTCTACACAGGAATTGTCATATGCAATGCCCGAACTACTGCAGAATTGCGGGGACAACAGCAGAAACAGCGTTGTTCCAAACGAAAAGTATTCAATTTATTTTCCCTCTCCCTGGGACTAATGCACTTACTGGATGAATCATCTCACAAATGATCCCTGTATGGCCAATGGAACAATGGTCCTATATGGGTAAAAAATGCTAATGCTTAACAGGTTCCGTAGGATGGTTATGGTGAAACTGCGACATATAAAAAATGGTTAGCAAAACAGGGTTTACGCAGTGAACTCACTGAAGTATACGTAGTATAGACTGTAAATCCAAGGTAAATCCATGCGAAATGACGGCAAATTGGATGTTGGTAAACATCGTGTCTCCTTCTGGTGTACACATCAGGAGTTGGATACTCTTACAGACACTTGTTTATCCATGGGTAATGGGTCATGTAAGATGGTGCAGCAAAATAACTGCAAGATCAACCCGGGATTTGAACCCTGCCAGCGTGGGAGCACATATGACAGATTCCGGTAGGGCATTCCACGTTCTGCAAACGCGTACGGAAAAGCAATTCCGACGGCATTCTAAACGACTTTGATACTGTGCCAGCTTGATATAGTGGCCTCTCAAATTGCTCTTAGTGAGTGAACTCTAGCAAATGGTGGCACGTGTGTTTGGGATCTCTCAAATTATAGTAAGCCAAAATGGGGTTTCCGCGCAACCGCCTATATTGTCCGCTGAAGCCCCGATCACTCAAAGCCTTCGTTCATATGGCAAATTATACAGACCCTTGACGTCTCTGGTTGCCCGGCGTTGGGGTATCTCCAAGGCGGTGAGATCTCTCCTCAGCCATGTCTGCCAAGCCTGTACTGTGTATTCCACATGTGGACGTATGTATGAGTCGAGAAGTTGTGGAAAAATCGAAGGGTCGAATCGTCCGTGTGTATGGTTCAAGAGGCCCACGTGTTGGATGCCCCTCCTTGAGTCCCTTTCAGTCTGATTCGAACATCCAAAGTCAACCTGGACAAAACTCCCCATCCTTCTCACCAGAAGAAGTTTGAGGCTCCTGGTTTCGGAGTTTGTAGGAATGAACCAACTTGTGCCTCAGATGCAGCACCCTACATTTTCCAAATTGAATCGAAGTAGATTCTAGACAGAGCAGCTCAGCGTTTAAACACTGAAAGCGATACTTATGGTGAACTGCAGTTCTGAAGACAAGAGTGCCGTGTATCCTTGCGAACGAAGTCACGACATGCTGATGCAGCGCCCAGATCTACTACGAAAAATACATTCATCTAGGTAGGCGAACAACCTCTTCGTGATGTCAGCTGGATGGTTCGAGTTTACCCACTTCCAGCAAATAGTTCAGCGGCAGTGTTTCAGGACATGGTGGGTTTTCGCCTGGCAAGCGTTTTCTTCTATAAAACGCCACAAATATCCGTTTAACTACACTGTAACGTGTCGGATGTGACTCGCCGCTCACTAAAGTCACCGCTTCTTACATATCTGGATGATCTAACCCAATCCACGGACATGGGTCATCCAATACGAAGAGTTCCTTTCCTACGCTTAACCGAAAGCAACCACAAATATAGCGTCACATTCACAAATTCAAGCAACACAACAACACAACACATTCATGCACACTTAACACATGGATCCATATGTTACTTAAAAACTTGTCGTTTTTACATTAACCAGTACTCGTTGTGTCGCCATGATCATGCCTATGTAGGCATGTCTCACACTTTCGAGAATAAAACATTTCTTTCTTTATTTATTTAAGTATTGCTCGATAAGTATTGTTCCAGATAATATTATGTCAAGCAGTAGATCAACTTTTAATCGGAAACACTTGCACCGACATTTTACTTTGGCTCCTGTGCTCATGAAACCATGGATTACAACATGGCAAAATCATGCCGAACGTTGGCTATTGCCACCATAGTAATAATCTTGCTTTTTTCGCAAACCAGCGCTATAATGTTCTTGGATCCTAATATTATCCGACGAACTTCTCAAGTGTGTAAACTACGAAAAGTTTGGTTGTACTTTATTTTAGCAACACCTTTTACTGTTCCAAAGCATTTACGTATGTAGGTATATTTAGTCATGCCTTCACTTGTGTGCCTCCTTCTACCGAGAATATACCATTTATTTATTTATTTAAAACTTCAGTTGCGTAGCCACTATACTGACTAATAACGCAAGTACTTTTTATTATTGCATGGCAGCAATAAATGTAGATATTTATCTTTTCAATGTGTTGTATGGTCAGCATATGCAGAAACAAACAGGTGTAGGTTAAGTGTCTCGGTTTGGTGTGCAAGAAATCTGGAAGCGTCTCGCTTTGGCTCACCAATAATCTGGCCACGTTACCTGCACCGTACCTACTACGTGCATCGCCACCGCTGAATCTCACACTATAGCATTATACCTAGACGTCGCCGTGACATGCGCCTCGTGTGTTCTAGCAGCGTTGTGTGCAGTTCGCTCGCGGTATCTCTTATACACACATATTCACAGTTATTGTGAATACATTTGTGAACACAGTTAGTCATCTTGGCTACGAGGTGTGTCTTTCAGATACACCATTGTTGAACAGATCCCGAATGTTATTCCTTGGTTAGTGCCGTCGGAAAGAAAAAGAAATTTCCTTCTACCTATAATATTCTTATCGTCCCAATCCATTCCGCCGTATATTTTTAATGTAGTTTCAACATATTGTGAAACGTGCGTTTCACTACCGGTTTCGGGTGTCCACTATTCAGCATTTACATTACTGTCTACATGCAAGCGGCGTTCCCAACTTCCTTCTCTGTGCACATGGTCTTCTCTGTGAAACACAGCGATCGGAATTGTAGTGCTGTGCCCCATCTGTGTCCGCCGGTTGACAAAATATCGCTTTGGAAACTAATCATTCTTGCAAATAGAGGCAGTCAAGGAATGGCGATGTGTCACTCCATGGTGAGCGATTTCAGATTCCTCACAAACTAGCTTTTCTTATCCACTTTTATGTTCAAAATGTGCCATCCACTTGATTCCAACAACTTTTGGCCATTTACTGGAGTTTGCCAGTACTATGTACAAAATACTGAACATTGACGATCTAATGATAACACCATGTTCTTGAGTGCCTACTTCCGACTGAAACCCGAGCTAGAACAATATGCCGCGCAACGTCTTACTCTCGGGTGTTGTAACCAACTTAAGTTTTGGTCACTCCCTAGGTTAATCTCTTCAGTCAAACAACGTTTCACCATACCCAGTGCGTCGCATTGCGGCGCCTTGGTGAGGAGTGCGCTAACGTTAACATAGATCATCGTTTCATCTCCGTTTCACACGAACTGATGACGGTTCTTTACAAACGTATTCCTTCACCCTGTCAACGGCTGCAATATACTAACGACTGCATATAGACTAGTAAATGCAAACTTTTGCCAACCCGGTAACCTGGTCGCAATTAACGCGGTACCCTTCGGCAAAGCTCAGTGCGGTACATCATGCATTGCTGTGCAGATGCTGATGCTAACCTCATCATTAAGGCCGATCAACTGCAGTTAACAGGTTATTCGGCCACACCCACCGATAACTAACTCATTGTTCCATGATAGCGCGTAGTAAAGCACCGCACGCATTAATTATTTCACCTAGCGACTATTAACCACACCCGAGCACACGTAGACACCGCTGAGTCTAGATCACACCACGTGAGGTTGACGGACCTGTCCGGTAGCTTTCATGCAGCTAGTTTCAGGGAAGACAATAGGTGCTCTCATTGTGGAGCACATTTCATGTCCGGTCATCCGCGCGCAACAGTAAGCGCTATGAACGCGGATGGCGCCCCAGTTCTGTGTTGTGTGTGTTGCTGCCGCGTAAGTGAGTGGGTGGGAGTTACAGATGCCTCGTGCTAGTCCGCAGCACATTCTACAGTGACTGAGCTCACGTGTTGCTTTCACGTCCGCATGTGCATCACGTGGTTTGTTGGCTGAGCGCACTCTAACTGCTGCACCAACCGGTGCAGATGGGCTGAGTACTCTTGTAATGATTTGTAATTGGCCAAGACGATGGGCACACGTTTGTGCGTATGCGCCACTTTAGTTTCAACGAGATGTGCTTGTGGATTGAGTTGAATATTCTTAAGAAAGAGCTTGGGTCCTTTATGGATTCAAATATATCGTAAAATATATAGTGGTGTGTGGCCAGTGGGTTGGTTTGAATTGGCATTCTCAGTTGCTTCGACACAATCGAAAGATTAGCTTTAGATACCTTATTTTGCTTCCTGTCTGCCTTACGCATCTTCGATAAATGCAGTCGGTTAGTTATTAAAGAGCCCTTATTTTTGGCTTCCACAGGGGTCACAATGTTTGGTGTCGGTTGCAATCCGTAAGATGTTCCTCGTGTAAACCTCCCGGAGAAAGCTGAAAATATAAAAATGGACGGGAGATAATTGTCAGTAATTCGTGGATTCGAAATACACTGCGCGTTAGAAAGAACACGTGAAGGCGGTTTGTATTAGCTTAGAGGGACAACGCTGGGAGTAGATGTTGAAATGATAGTGGGGAATAATCCAAATGACCCGAGAACACGCACGTCACGCGTGTGTGTGGGGTCCATGCGTTGCTTTCTATTTTTGGTAATCATGCTCAACCGGTGTGTCGACAATCAAGTCGACTGTAGCGCGTAGCCAGTTTGGACTAATGGCTTCTCAGTTTGGTATTTTGACTCAGTTGCAACAGATTGCTGCGTGGGTGAATTGGGTTCGTCAGTATTAATAAACCATGAAGAAGTCTCCTCGCTGACGTCGATGTTCACTATTGTGCACACTCCGGGACTGCAGTCTGCGCCGGTAGGCCAGAGAGAACGATTTGGTAATGAGATTTTTTGCTCTAGATTGTGGAGCTACTAGTGCATCGGTGTCGCTCTTGGGCCAGGGACGTCAGGCGTGTATCGCATATTCCAAGTGGGGCAACACGTAGGCATTCAGCGTTTGCAGAAAGTTTGATGGCTCGAAAGTTCTGAAAGCCCCCTGTAAGTGTTCAAAATTTTGACTGGTGCTTTTTGATGTCTTTTCGGTCTGTCTGGAGCGTCCAAGATCGTTCTGCAAGAGAACAGAAAACATGTATCACCTTTTTTGAAAATAGTTTAGTTAAACATTTTGGTACTAAAGTTTAAGAGGAAGATGAGCCATGTTCACTTCAAATTATATGCACTTCTTACTTGTCACCTTTGAGAACGTGGACTAATAGAAATTCTAGTGTACTAATTTTAGGATACCGGTGTTGTGCCGACGACCAGTGTCATAAACATGGCTGCTGTTTTTCATGTTCAACACTACAAACACAACACCACCAACAGTAAGTGTTCAAAGTGTTTAAAGAACATCTACTCCCCATTCAGACAAAATGCCTGTCCAAATTTACTGTTGTCTTGAACTTCCCCTGAATGAATCAAATGTGCCAGATTAATCTAAAAATCAAAACAGTGTCGACAGTGGCAGTGCTTTGAAGTATTTCAGAATATCTGTAGCTCAGGTGTGAATGTATATTTTGCATTGTTCCCCGACCTGAATAATTAGTATGCAGACTTCGTTGCCGGACTGGACGACATCATCCATACATCCACATGGGCTTGATTCGCCGTGAGTATAATGCGACTTCGAGGTCTAAGCACTTATTGATCTAGTACATGTTTGAATGTTGGTTTCGAGAAACTCACTTGCCTTTTGGCCTGTGGGTCTGTCAAGCATTTCGATGTGCTGCAGATCGAATCGGTGGTTTTCCGCATCTATCTTCACGGACGGTCTGACAACGAAATGTCTGCAAACTTATCATGGAGCTCGGAAAACAATGCAGATTACATGTACTTGTTCATACCCGGAGCTACGGATATTTCCGACTATTTCAGATCACTTTGTAATTACAAACTTATCCGAATGAAGGTAATGGAAGCTTGAAAAAGCAGTTATTGTCTGTGACATAAAACGCAGTGTCAAGGACTCTAATTTGTTGATTTCTTCGCTGCAGTGGAATCAACGCTAAAATCATACAACATCTCATCTTAAGTACAACTTCTGATCGGACATAAGATTATCCCAGCTCTCATGCATAAGGTCAAACCAACATATTCAGGGCTAGTGAAAAGAAAGCTCCATCGAGTCTCAAAAGTGTGAAGTGCATATTTATACTGCTGGCCGAAAATGGACAGCTTACCGTTCTAATGAACAAAATTGCTTGCATGACGAAAGCGCAGCACCAACTCAGCCGATAATAGATGGCCTAACTGAACGCTTGGAAGGTAAAATCAAGCGCAGTCTACAGTGACTAGAACAGATGGAGCAAAAAATGATATTGGAATACAAAATGGTAAAACTAAGTGATCCACTGCTGCCGCGTTCCTACGGTCTAACTAAATTTTACAACGGTGGAGTGACTCCCCACCTCATCATTTCACTACCTGGAGCACAAAAGTACAGACTTGCAAAAGAACTGTGGACAAAACTAAATCATCTGGTTTCGGTATCAGAACACTTGAGCAACTCGGGGGAACACCTCTTCGCGAAACTCAAAGCCACAACTGTAGAACGGGATGAAATAATGTTTCGTCGTTGTTGGCATCAATGGACATCATCTTGGCGAACCGAAGAAGAGTCGTCCTCTGGAAAAGCACGCATCGTCCGATAAAAACAATAAAATCGATGCTAGACGAATTTGCTAGCATTATGTCTAACAACACATCTCACTTTCAATGACCAAATTTACAAGCCGGTTAGAGGCACACCAATGTGATCGCCGATAGGTAGCTTAGTAGCTGATGTAGTGATGTAGGCAATGGAACCGATAAATATCGAAACTGTGAAACCAAAAGATTGGATATGTTACATAGAAGACGCTGTCGTCATCTTTAGGCGTTCTAAATTACAGTAGATGCACAAGCTAAATAACAGTCCAGTTCGTCGAGGAAGGGGAGAACAGCGGTCAGCTACCATTCTTGGACGTTCTGGTGTGAATAACTGTCGCTGGAGCACTGGGAATGACAGTCACTTGAAGATCAATATATAAAAACCAGCTCACAACTACGGTACTAACTGTCTGGAAAAAACAAATTGTGACAGAATTACCTTTTTCTGTAAAGTAAGCAGACATAGGGCGTTCGTGTCTTTTGGTTAGGGTAGTAAATGCTGGATTCAACCGGCACATGGCGACAAATTTCGTTTTTGCGCATTATATTATATCCTTACATATACTTTAGGCGCAAATGCACAGTCGCTACTTAACCTCACTCGCAAATTTGTCCTTAGCAAAAGGGTAATGGAAAGATGCTAGACACCACAACACACGGCAAAAGAATGGAAGGTGTAGGCGCAATTTCTCTTACTAGAAAAGGCTGAGGTTACTGAGGTTTTCAGCGGACGTTACCGGAGGCCACGCGGTGACCTCATATTAACGTACCAAGTATAAAGTGACCCCAATCCAGCATGTCGGCATTTGCTGAAAATCAGCAACAACAAGCTCAAACTATAAAATTGAGTGAACAATACAGCCGTCTAGAATGTCGACGTGGTTTGTTGACCTTGGAATTATATCCCAAACACAACCGTCGCCCCTTTACTTTGTATATCTAAAACAAACGACGAATGTTGGCCGTATTTCCCAGCCTTCCTTGATTAAGCTTTGCTACTGTAGATTACCGTAATCATACCATTATACCGGAGTTTTGTGCTAGGTAGACCCAAAGAAGTGACAATTGAGTAGGTTATCTTTTCTATATTTTCGCACACAGTACGTCAACTATCACTAAGTCCCATGCTGTTCTGCATGCTTGCCTCTAATTCCAGCTTTACACTATCGTTACTCAGCAACGTAGTTAACTACATTGCTTAAACAGATGATCACATTTACGTTTTTGGTTTTTACCCAAACCATCCAATTGGACTTGTCAACTGCTATATTATCCGTGATGAAGCACTAATTGTTAATTGACTATTATGCCTATTTGAGCAAGCAAAACCATAGAATTTCTGATACAGTCAAATGATGACTCGAACATTTCTGATGCTAACAGTTTATGTATTATGCAGGGTATTTTACCATTATTTGTGCCAACTATTGTTTAAGCATATTTGCTAGTAAAATCTTTTGTGTTTGTTTGGACTACCTGGCACAAATTTAATGTATTCATGTATTCATGTCTTAATATTCTACATTCTCAAGGGTTTAACTATAATAACGAAATAGTCATCTCACGGTGGGTACCTCGAAGGGAGAAAAGAGAAATTCACATTTTTCTTAATGGAATAAATTAAAACAAGCAAACTAATTGTAAAACATCCTAACTGAAGGTTTCTAACCACCGTCCCAAGAGCGTTCACTTAAGCATGCAGCTACTCGGATGTGAAAAACGTACTAATAAATGTACATAGCAAGAATGCACTACGAAAAATAGTCTATGGACATATTGATGGAGAGTATTGGGCGATTTTGGTACTTTAATAAGATTTTCGAAGCCAGCTATAGCCAGACAGTCACTGCGTATCCAGGTGAGTGTTAAATAGCCGTTCCATGCTACTGGGTTAATCGGTAGTACACATCCGTTTCGCGAACTGGATCTGAACTGAATGCTTTCGAAATACGTGACGGTGACTCTAGCTCCGGAGTCATGGGCAACGAAGGCTTATCGTTATGAGTGTGCATGGTTGCCTTTGTTTTCCCCAAACACAGCAACTTCCTTACAGCTATCTACCGACTTATAAAATTTTTTAACTTTAAGCTATTAACGAAAAATGATTGATTTAGGTTTTACTTCTACCCGCAACAGATTATCGGCACCCTACAAAAAGATCCCTGCATTACTGGTGAGTTGCAATGTCATTACCTCACCAAGTTGTTCACCAAAATCAACGCGATAGTCTATCAGAATGTGTTGCCTGAACTAAGTATAATAAGAAAAGATTACCCTCTCTATGTATTCGAACTTGGTATTATGAACTTGCTGAAAGCCAAAGGTGTCGGCATTGGAATGTAGATCAATAGCGAAGCACTACCTGCAACGTCGCAGTTAACGTGGCGTACTTCATGCCATTGCCGAGGATTGTAACTGAACTTGCACTCTTCATAGGTGCATAAATCGCACTGTTGACTTGAGTTAAAGTTGCATACAGAAGGTCAATACTGTATTGGCGGAAAAAGTAAGAACAATCATCTGTAAACCTCCATCAAAATATGAGCAAAATGTTTAACAAAGTAAAAAGCATTTAGTGGCCTGTCAACATTCCATTATATTTCACCTTCAATCGCGATACCGTCAAAAGCGAATGGCTCAAAATACTTAAAAACGCAGGAGGTCAATGTCAATGAATAAGCACTAAGTAATATTTAACCAGACATCCAGTTGCAGCCCCGTGAAAGTGATGCCACTCAAAGCAAAGTTTTACTCTTGATCATGGTAGTTATTGCATGTTCACAGTTGTACAGATTTGATTCCGGCTACCGGCAGTCCATGATTCGAAACGTACAAACTGACCTGAATGCGCCTGAAGGCTGGTGTTATACCAAAAATGTGTTTCACCTATGCAAAAAGTAATATCACCTCATAAGAATTACATATAAGTACCAAAATGATAGCAATTGTTGGTAAACGTCTCGTTAGTGGCAAACAAGAAACTAACTTAAGGGTTTCTTATGCAAAAGCCTTAACATTCCGAGCATGTAATACATCACACCGCTGCTAAACCCGAGACAAAGAATGCCGTGTTTTTGAAACTCTTTAGCCAAAGTTGTACTGCACGAGATTTGTCCGCGCCCAATGTTGGGGTATTGTTCTATGGTATGTGGCAATACAAAGCAGAGTGACACTGCGATACCAGAGCACGTCCATCGTATTTTCACAAGACAAGTCACGGTTTATACACAAAGATTCAAGTACTAGACACTATATAGCTGCTTAAGCTGACACCAGATATATCGCTCCTTTTGGGCGCATTTCATGAACCCATCCTTTCATTTGGATACTCACGCCAACTACCACACATAGCTACCCTATCTGTAACAAAACATGCACACTAACAGTTTCAAAGTCTCGTACCAACTTCATGGAGAATGTTTTCCACTCCATATCTACATCAGTTTGGAATGGTCTTCTTCCATCATTTAGATCATAGACAGACTTATGTGTTTCTTTTACAAACTCTTAAATGTATGACAATACCAATAGCTATGCACGTTTTCAAACGTACTATTGCAAAGGCAGTGGTCTATCCGAAGTGACGAAAATGCATCTAGTTTCACGTCCGTAATGCGCGTCGGTTAGACATTAGACAAGCCGACTCTATTATAGAAGCTGAAAAGAACAAACAAAATTTTCATATCACCACTTCGAACCATTTTTATAGACATGCTTCACCCGACCGTACTCATTTTGAGACTCAAAAAAGTGGTACCTGTAAAGTGGCAGGCTAGATCCAGACCTCATCATCATTCAACCAACCACTGTTATATACTTCCTGCAACCAGCCACGTCTGACTCAAGGTTTCAAGTCTACATGAAAGTAAACAACGGAAATTTAATCGTTAAAATTTTGCTCCTCAGGCCCCAGTTATATTCTCTACTAAACCGGCAATACAACATGGGGAATTGCCAATTAGGTTCTCATCCTCTTTAAACAGACGGCTGTTACAATCTATATTTTCCCTATCATCCTAATTAGCGCTCGTTCGATTTGTCATTATTCCTTTTGTCACAGAGACGCACAAACGGGAAACGGACTACGTATGAACATTAATGTATTAAGAGCTTTGCTTCGCGCCTCGCCTGCTAAGTTTTTAGTGCCAACGCTGATACGTGCTCTTCACACCTTAACAAATCCATTGACGATCCATGGAAACATGGGTCCGATGCATTCTACTAAAATAGCCCTTTGTGTATGTGCTGCATCAGTTGAGATGCATGTCTCTCATATCCACTCTTACTCATTGTACACTGCAGAACACATCGATGGAACCTTAGGTCACGTTTCCCAACCTACCACATTTTGGATCCGATCTAACATCACTATGGAGGACTTCGCCACTGACATATCGTTTAGCCTGTTCTCTGCTCTACATTTTCATCATATATATTTCCATCAGATTCTCATGTAATTACTGCGAAAGAACCTTTGATTATGCTTGGCAGATCGCCGTATTGACTACATACCAATAAGTACAAGCAGCCGCGCAGGAGCGTGACCTTATGGCATTAATAGGGCACGCTGGCGGTTTGATTCATCTGTCTGACTGCAGTTACTTAACACACACGCGGTTCCATGTGGAATACGCAATCCCCTCCTGGCCGCCATGGTATAAACAAGATTTTGTGGCGCTCGAGACTCTACAGCGACGAGCCACGAAGCACGCCAAACGGTTGTTCCATTTTCCAATCCCCAGCCACCATCTACTGTAACAATCACTACACGAATTTGAATGGTAACTAGTTCAAGTTGGCTGTGTAAATACAGTCGGCTAGAAGGCCGGTGAAATTTTACTCTCTTAGCGTTTATCAGCCATGGAACGCCATCCCAAATCACGTTATTTCGGTCTCAATTTACCTGTGTCTTAAAACGCCTTGACGTTGCCTTAATTCACCCAGCTTGCATGATATAATCTGTGTAAATCGACAGACGACAAAATGTGGCCAGTGTTGCAAAACCAGCACTAAGCTACATAATCAAGGTTGGCTCTTTCCTGCGTACCGCTTTGTGAACACCGAGGTAAGCCCACCAAAACGATTTTCTTTTCGTCACCACGCTTTCTTTTCACCATTTTGCTTCGCATTTTGGCCATCCTACGGTACCTGTTCAACGACTGCTTTTTCTTACTTGCTATATAACAACGTTCTTTTGTTTCACTTCAACGATTCTAATTTCATTGCTTATTAAGAATGTTTATTATTTCCTGGTAATGTAATCGATAATGCGCGATATATATATATATATATATATATATATATATCCAACTAGCCATTGTTCCGGAGTCCTAGGGTTGATTCATTCTGCCTCTGTTATCACTCATCGTGGACGTGTGCCGTAAATCTAATTAGCTTCCCGTTCATCTACGTGTACATGCCCGGGTAGTGTAGTTTGTATGCTTTAACATAACAAGGGTTCACTGCCTCTGCAGAACTATGCTGGTTGTTGCTGATAGTTCGCCTTATCAGCTGCAACCTTTGGCTAACATAACGATCGCATGTGAACAGCATCGTATTACCCCCAAGTTTGCAGCGTGTAGTGCTTACGCTAACTAGCATCGTAAACAGCATATTCGAGTTTCATGATACATGCAAAATTGTACCATTTCGCTACCAAAATTGCTTAGCGGTAGTAAAGTACTACATACTTTCGAAAATAGAAGGAGCTACAGAGATTCAGGGGGTGGTAATAACAATATGTCATGAAACTACACTTTCCTACTAGGAAGCTGGGAGTTCCGGCCACGCGTATCATTAGTTACTAAGAATAGTTTACTGCATTAATCTCATACGTCAATAACAAAGTTCATAAAGGACAAATGACTTATAGTACGATCGAGTTCATTTTTTCTCGTGTCCTGCACCGATCTGGTAGGTGGTACGAAGTTAGCTTTGCATGATCAAAGATCAATAAGCACTCAACTGGTTGTCACACAGCTTCAGTTTCGTAAGCGTAAAGGCGGGAGTGTTAAACTTTACTGCATGCGCATCTCAAACCGGACAGATGCACAATAAGCAGGGCAAAACGGTTCAACTTGGTGTTTTGTCATATCAAATTGAATGATTGGCATAATACCCTACGAAAATTAAGTTCGCACTAAGTATACTCCTTGTACGCAGATCATAAAACGGATAGGCGGAATTATTGCTACCTCCATTGAAATGAAGCAGCCCTCTAAGGCTCTAAAATACGTCTTACTAAAATTGATATGGCTCGGGCAAGTGAACATGAGAATCGATGTATTAAAGGTGCAAAACAAGATCAAAAGTAGGATGAAATTTTATGGAGTTACAGCGAAGATGAATATTGCTTACAGTTATCTGCTATTCCATTAGAAAGCAAAAGATAAAACTTGTTGCAGTAAAATTTACTCTTGAAATTCTGATGCAGACTGTTAACCAGGAGGAGCACACCAACAATGCTCAGCGTCACAAGCTGGCTAAATATTGAAAGCTTTCTCTTTCATGTGAATAAGTAAATCGGCTTAAGCCGTCCACTATCAAGATGTGGGGTATTCAGTAAAGTATTCCAGCGTAACTGCGCAGCGTTTCGCTAAGGATACAATCAGGCTGGTTCCCACGCTGGTATTGACCCATGAATAATCAAGGTAGTTAGCTAGTATTACTGCCGAACAACATTGGCATTAACAAGCGACTATGCATGAGTATTTTCGGGCTCCAAATTTAGTGCATAAACTTGGTGCAAATGAGTGCTGAAGACATTACTCGGGGACTTCTGAATCCTAGAAGTAAGCTGGTTACCTTTACACGCTAGAAAAAATGGTGTACGCCTATTTTTATGGCGGAAGTATGTTCGTTGGGTTGAGAACCTGGGAGACCGTGAACTGTATTCAACTTCATTAGTCAATCTGTAGAGACTTTGGGTAACTTGCAGCTTCTTTTATTCCAAGCTATGCATTATCCTTACCAGTCAATCCGCTTGCATCCTCAGAACTCATTTCTAACTCCCCATGTGCCAGCGTAAGATGAACATGTTCACATTTATCCATACGTTTTGCTACTAGGCTGTATTCATCAAATGTGTTGAATATCATTAGCTCACAACAAATTTTAGTAACAGTAACAGAGGCTGGTATAAATAACGTATGAGCAGCTAGTTGCTTACAATCTGCTTGCCCACTCCATATGATTACACAAAAAACCAAATACTGTGTCTGTGCAACCTATTATTGCCTTCCTCTTATTATCTACTCCTGAGCCTCACAAACTAGCAAGTGAGTATACAAATATCGGTACATCCTGCATATTAGGTGATTAGGTCTAAGACCCGAGAGAAAATTTATGATCCTAAGTTCCATTATTTAAATTTATTTGAATATTATGAATTTATCTCGCACAAATCATGAAACCTCCTGCTTATTAGGTAATATACCGTTTGTTGGTCAAGACATGAATTTAATTTTCTATTTTATTTATCTGTGGTTGG